ATATATATATACATATATATATATATATATATATATATATATGTATATTTTTTTTTATGTATATATTCTCTCAATTTTCCCTTTCACGGTTATGTGTCACACGGTATGTTTTACACCTGTTAAATATGATATGCGAGTGTAATAAAACAGTACCAAATCCATAAGCTGCACCCCGATGTCCATTTATACTTACCCCACTTCCCAGTCTTGCTGGTTTGTCGTGTCATATTCCGAGTACGAAATAACGTTTCTAACTTAGTTGCAAAGTGCTTGGCACCCACAAGTACCAAGACTTATGCACATGCGCGGGTGCGAATGAGCCCCATTTGGGTGTTGTAACCGTGTGCACCGGGAAAATCCTAAATTGGACTTGCGGTCTTTGAGTAGGGTACTCTGCGTGCGCTGAATGTAAACCCACAGCACCTGCTAAGCCTCGCACTGACATGTACTTGTTATTTTTCGCGTATGTTTCAACCAGTATTTAGCATTGGTCAAAAAGAATCAGCTGTTTTCATTCTCTTATCGAGATATTTTAATATTTACTATCTCCGCGTGATAGTACTATCAAGTTCTCGAGTCCTTACATTTATGCAATACATTTTAAGAACAAAAGATAGAGATAGACACAGAGATATGTGACAAAAAGCACAATCAATAACGTCTTGGAGTTCTACAAAACCTGAACCGATATATTCTTCCAACACCCAGCCCCTAAACTCAATACCAGCCTACGCCAAGTGCGTGACTATACACCAGTCACCGTTAATGGAACGCCAGTGTTGCAGTACTGCGAAGCGAAATGTACAGACACATACACTGTCGGTACCTCAATACAATCACCTTCTCAAGCAGGGTGTGCGAAATCACCCCAGCAGCAACAACCCAAACCCTAAAAACCCTGAAATATACGGTCACAGGGGTACACACCTCAGCCTCAGGATATACAGTACGTGTAGCATGCATGCTAACGCAGACACTGAACACCCGGGCCCAGACTCCACACCCCGCTGTTACCCAGACCACACAGTCTTAGGAACGGACAACCTGCCAGGCCCAGGAGACGCTAATGGTGACCGTCATCAGGAAGATGAACGGGGCCACGAGTGCACTATAGCCAAACTACATAAAGACACTTATATTAAAGTATACAGCGGGATATATAACAGGAGTGTATATTCATTTTTACTAATCATGTGTGGTGTTAATCCACCCGCACCTGGGCGTAGATCTTGCAGAGGAAGGTATAGGTGGCGTAGAAGCCGATAGTCGCCGTCATCAGGAAGAAGAACAAGGCCATGAGTGCACTGTAGCCAAAGTACATGATGGTAGGTACCACCTCACTGATCTCCAGCCGCACGACAAAGTAGTACACGGCGTATAGCGCCAGGTACAGCGAAGACGAACCAGACACACAGATGGCCCGCCACCACCAGTTGTAGTCCTGTGGGTGAGTGGTGAGCGGGTGGGTGATGAGTCATGTCTTATGTCAGTTGTAGTGTGTGTGTGTGTGGTGGTGTATATATATTA